ACTCAAAATATACATTTATATTAACCAAATAATCTACTTATAAAAAAATGAAAGGTGCAAGTCATTGCGTTCTAAACATAAAGTTAGGAGTTGATGACATATAAATATACACACATCCGTATGTGTGCATCACTAGCCCTTACACTTAAAATGTGGCTCACACCTAAGTACTTGAGTTGATATATATATAATCAGTGCAGAAGATGAAACAATCTACTGAAAACACCAATTTGAACCTGATTGTTTAGTTGGAGAGTGAATAAGGATGTGAATTTGTTAGATCTCTTTGGTAAGTGCCTATAGAATAAGACGACAGTGTTCTGTGTATGTGGAATCAACAGTTACAGAAACATCTGTTACATTGTAAACTATGCATAGTTTGTTCAAGAAAAGTATATTATTTATATAAAACATTTTGATTGATAACAACCAATTACTGGTATCAAATCATGGATTTACTTACAATATGTAAATGCAGTTGTTCAGTTCATACTTCTCGGTCACGTTTAATTCATTTTTTTTTGTACTGAACGAAAACTTTATAGCTGACATGATTACTTTTATTGGTGTTCAGTAGACTTTTATTTGAAAAAGAACCTGATGATGTTGTTCAATATTATAATGAAATGTTTGCAATAAAACTATTTGGCATGAAGAATGAAAAATCAAATAGATGGAGGTTTCCGTCAAGCATCTTAATTTTGACACCTTATATTCTATGTCAGCTGTTCTACACTGAGGTGATGCAATATTTAACAAACCTGTGCAGTGTTTATATAACCAGTGATATACATTCAAAAGGGAGGAGCGCAAAAAGCAACTATCAAAAGGGCGACCGCAAAAGAAGCGCATATTAATCAAGGTCAGGAATGAAAGGGGAATAACATTTATAATGGTGTGAAATCTGTTAGATTCGCCCACTGTCCGTCTTCCTTACGAACAATAAAAAAGTAGTTTCCTGAACGTCTAATGAAAAATACTGTGCTTTGTCGAATTTGATAACAGATTATTATTCTACAACCATAGTCATGTTATCTCGTACGTCTATTTCAAATTAGCTAGCTTAATTATAAATCCAGTAACATCACAACAGTATCTTTTAGACAATTTCACTCTAAAGGCGGTTGCAATTCATTATTTCAAACCTGAGCTATTTGTGTAAAAGCATCACATCAAGCTGTTATCATATCTGAGTCATGTTCTAATACTATTTTCCACACACAGTCACTCGGTTATGGATACCTTATTTTAAGGCTTTTAATTTTTAGTCATTTGTTGTTACCACTTATGTTTTAAATTTATTCTACTCCTTAAGTGGTAAGTAATCGTTTACACGTTTGCTTATTATTTTTCTTGTATCTCCGATCATTACACAACCTTAATTCGATTGTTGAAGTTGTGTATAAATCTATATATTTTTTGACAGACTAAGAGGGATAATAAGGGTAAGCAACACAAATATTTAAAATTCTGACGTCAACACATTGATAACCTAAAAGGACTACTACAATAAAATAGTCCAGAGAATATATTACGTGACTGGATGTAATACATCAAAGGAAAGCATCAATAAGCGATAGCATCAATTTAATATTGATATAAATGTTAAATGCATTATAAAATTTTCGTAACATAGTTTAAAATATTCAGATGAGTGTATCCAAATTATATGCCATTCCACGTAGATAATTCAGTCATTCACCACAGGGGGTAAATCGAATATATCTCACACCATTATTAGTGTTATTCCTCCTTTCATTCCTCATCATTATTAATATGCGCCTTTTTCACGGTTACTCATTTGATAGTCACCCTTGGTAATGCGAACCCTCTCTCACTCTCCCACAACCAGTACTTGAATTTGGTAATAACTCTAGGTTAATTAGCACTATAAATACAGCTAACTAAAGTTGAAGCCAAAAATGTAATACTATAACTAATGAAAGTACTTAAAAATATCCTTACCAGAAAGCCAATAATAAGACAATTGAGTAAATTCATGATTTATTATCCGGCTTAGAGTTTGAACGAAACAGATTACTGTTCTTCGTTCCATAAATTATATCTTTCTAAAGGAATATTTACCATTGATAAAATTAGTAAAACTATAAATATTAATATCCATATGTATATCACTAGTGGTCGTAGTACTATTTAATCTCAGTTGCGATGGCTTATAATATTAATACTTTACTATACATCATAAATCCCTTAAATCTACAATTAATCATGTCTACTTTGTTGCCATCACGTCAACCCCATCAAATTGAGATGGCTCTTAAAAAATTAAATTTACAACAAAATGAACAGAAATACTGATCAGATGTTATCTTGATTTATTTTCCAATGTGTTCCCAATTAATGCAATTAAATGTGGTGTTTTTATAGTAGCTTTGTGTACATTTCATTAGAGAATTCAACATTTTCATCTAGGCACATTTTATTGGTTATCATAAAATATATTTTAAAACTATTCTGAGCTCTATTATCTTTTAGAATTCTTTGCTCTTGATAACTAATTTGGGACTATATCATTTTAATAAATATGGGATTGCTTCTGAGTTCTTAAAGCGAACCTGGCTAAAATACTATGGTAATCACAGCGTATTTGCATTTCAGATGTATAATGATTATAAGGTCATTTGGAAATTAGATTTGGTGTTGGAAACTAAGTAGAGTCTTACTGGTAACCATGTGGGATTTGTTGGTTATGGACAATGTGACATTATTAGTTTGCTGTTCAATCGGCTAAAAGAACTGATGTAGTAGTAAATTTGATATTTAAAACTTAACGGTAAGGATAACCTGGAATGATCACAGTCGAAAATGTAATATTTTATTCAGTCTTACTGTTAATCAATCGGTGTACTGAACCGTTTTTTAGATTAACCGGTAAGATAAATATAGAATCACTTACAGCCATTCTGTAATAACAATATTTCTGGAGTCTTCGTTTTATTGTTGTGACACTACCTGTTTCGCTGGCTATTGTTTATTTACATAAATATTTCTAGAACGAAACTGATAACTGATACCAAGAGAAAAGTATTTTGCAAAAACGTTTAAGCCGGTGGTCTCCTCAAACATAATTTAGATGTTATGTTAACGTTTAGAAAACAACTTAAGTTTCAAACGTATTTCAGTCATTCAGCTACCATGATGGTTAGAAGAAAAGAACAATAAAACATTATACCTTTTACGAAAAAAACTTATCTGTTCTAGTTATTCTATTGTATTTTTGTCAAGAGTAATATGAAAAGTTGTGTGAATCAATCATACATATATCAGTTATTATAATAAAATAAACTGTAAAAACATACGTAATTATAGGGATTCTCTGGATTAAAATTAATGGTATTATAATTGACAACGTTAGAAAGATATGTACATAACTGTAAAAATACAGTTTGTAACCAAGTCATGAAAATTTAATATTGATTGACACAATGATAATTTGATTGAGTTGTCCACTAATATGTATAATACTTTATATTATTTCAGTATTCAATGCAATGAAAATGTTAATGACACTATCACATTTCTGATGGACCGATTAATTAGCCAAGTGAGTAGCTGCATTTCTGAACGAATGAAGACCTGTATGTTTGTGTGTTTAGGAATGGATAACCTACGTTAGAGCTGGTAATAGCTGAGCTTGAATAACATACGTACAGATCACTAGATTTCATGAGAACTGATAAATTAATTAATCGACATGATATATAAGGCTTTTGCATTCTGGTGAACCTCGATATTACTCATTAGGTGATTTTAAAACTTGCTACTCTCACAAGCATCTTATGATGCATACGTTGAAACTAGAAATCAGTCTACTTTTAATTGAGATCATGAACCGATTGATGTCAGACCACCGTGGGAAACCTCGAAGCACTGGACGGCCGTTTCGTCTTATTGTGGGACTCCCCAACAGCGCGCATCCAAGAGCCCACTCACAGGATTCGAATCCAGGGCCTTTAGTCTCGCGCGCGAACGCTTAACCTACTGGACCACTGAGCCGGCATCCAATGGTGATAGCGTCTAACATCAACCAATCCACGAAATTGAGCGACCAACTTCCATTGTACTGAGGTAGATACCTGTCTCTACCCGACACGGATTAGCTCCACTGGTCACGGCTTCTCACCAGAACTCCGAGAATTCCCTCACGAAGCTAGTCACTAGTGAGCACATGTTAATTACTAGTATAGGGTTTGTGAATGCTCACTACCGAGGAGTCCCACAATAGGATGAAACGACCGTCCAGTGCTTCCAGGTTTCCAAAGGTGGTCTAACATCAATCGATTCATGATCTCAATCAAAAACCTAATAATCTCCACAACCCCTATACTAGTAGCCTACTTTTAGTTTGATTTTAGCTAACAAATTTTTAAATTCTTAGCTCAATTTAATTGCTTTGACTGAAATATAATGTTTATGTCTATTAGGTCTCGTAACTATGAAGTGGACGATAATTCAGATTGAGAAAAACGAATTATTGTTTGAAGCAAAATTACACAACGTCATAATAAAATATAAAAATCATGATTGAAACCATCATTTACACATCATCTCTGAGTTGTCCTTCATCTGTTCCATAATTTCCCTAATTCTGTTTATATTACAATTGCTATTTGATTTCTTTTCTATCCTCTTCAAATTAATCTTCTGCCGCCTGACATTCCACATAAGATTGCAACTACACACTAATGTTTATCAGCATAAGTAGTATACACTACAGCTACATTAAAACTAGGGGTTGAATGTCACGATTTTGATAACTAATGTAGAAAAATGTAGATTATAGTTGCTATTGATAAAACTGAGTCTGTTTATTCGTTTCTTTGTGCAGAAATTAATTGCAAAGGATTGAGAATAAAAAGGCAATATATTAAATTCATGAATGATATGTCTTAAAAATTTTGAATTATAAGTAAATCATCACATTGATTAGTTTCTTTAAATTATAACCACAGAACTGTCAAATGAATAAACTAACTCACCCAAAATGGTAATGATTTTGTGAACATTAAATATCGTCTACTTTCTACTACACGTGTCATTGTATGCGTTAGACCTCGGTTACGATGATGACCATGATTGTGACGATGATGATGATGATGGTGGTGGTGATGATGATGATTATGATGATGGTGATGATGATGATGATGACCATGATCATGACTTTTTAATTCATTTTTCTCTGGAATCTGTGAAATTTCATTCAATGGTCCTGTTACTAGAACACTAGAAGCTGAATTAGCACTTGAAGGTTCAGTGGCATTATAACTTGAGACTTTTATTCGTGGTTTATCTGTTTCACAAACAATATTCTCCTCTGATCTGGAAAAATGCTCCATTATAAATCCTCTAGGTGGTTGAGGTGATATTGTTAGACTTTTTCGGTCGACTATTCTTCCACTTAAACTTCCAGCTAAATAATAAAAAAATTCAAATGACAAAAACAATATTCATTCTTAGAACAAGTTTGTGTACCATTTTAAATTAATCATATCCAATGCTTTTATTTATGATTTAACTTATGTAACATGTTTACCAACATAATTTATTGTAAAGGTCAATATTGAAATCTGTTATATTACCTCTATTATACTTCACTTTCTTGCCTCATATCTCTTTACCATAACATGCTTGTTGACCTTACTTCTTCCTTATTGTCTTGACATGTAATAAAAATATAATCAGACTCATTGAAATATGAACACAGGGAATTCATCACATATTTTTTCGAATCAAACTTACCTTGTTAGATCGCCACACAAAAAAAGAGTAAAAACGAATTATTCCAAATCTTTTAAAATGTTAAAATTTTTAGGAAAAAGTCATTTTGTAAGAAATCAATTAGATTTTGTGTGTTTGTATGTATGTGTGTGTGGAACAAAAATGATAAATAACATGCTTAGAATTAGTTTAATATAAAGAAGTATTTCATTGTATGACTTAATTACCATTTCAAATGTATCTGATGGATGATACAGCTATGGTTTTTATGTCATGAATATCATGAAATTATTATCAATCATTCATTAGAAGTATATAGAAACATAACTAGTATCTGTAACTGTTAGTCAACGAAGCAAGGGCCGCATTCCTACGATTGAAGAACATATGGAACTCAAAACAACTTCCAATCAATATCAAAGTCACAATCCTCAATACGAACGTCAAGACAGTCAGTTCTACTGTACGGAACTGAAACTTGGAAAACTACAACAACCACCATCAAGAAGGTACAAGTATTTCTAAATGGTTGTCTTCGCAAGATACTCAACATCCATTGGCCGGATACCATCAGCAATAGCCTTTTGTGGGAGAGAACAAATCAGCTTCCAGATGAAGAGGAGATTAGGAAAAGACGATAGAAATGGATAGGACATACATTACGCAAATCATCAAACTGCATCACGAGGCAAGCCCTAACTTGGAATGCTGAAGGGAAGCGGGAAAGAGGAAGTCCAAAGAACACATTACGTCGGGAAATAGAAGCAGATATGGAAAGGACGAATTAAGACTGGAAAGAATTTGAAAGGACTGCCCAGGACAGGGTTGGATGGTGAATGCTGGTGAGCGGCCTATGCTCCTTCACGAGGAGTAACAGGCGTAGGTAAAATGTGAAAAAGTAGTCAATGAAGGAAAAACGTTTTCTTTTTCAATTCAGAACTTAGTAAACTAAAGTAAAATGTTTTGAGGTTTGGATTTTTCTAGAATAACATTCGTTATGTGTCCAAAGTACAATGTAAAAATTATAAGTGAATATTTTTCAGTTTGAAATATAATAACTTCCAATAATATAAATTGATCAGATAAATGTTTCGGGCAATCAATGGTTAAGTCCTTTTATACCGTTAGATGCCGGCTGAGTGGTCTAGTTGTTAAGCGCACGAACGAGACTGATAGGTCCTGGGTTCGAATCTTGCAAGACGGGATTGTGGATGAGCACTGCTGAGGAGTCCCACAATAGGATGAAATGACCGTCTATTGCTTCTAGTACACGACCACGAAATATTTCTCTTCTGTATATGATAAAAGTTCACCTTGTCAATTATTTTAAATTCTAATCTATTCAGAAACATTAAACATCTTTCATATGATATTGAAAATCCCTATTTACCAAACATGAATGGTTTATAACATATTCTTAATAATTTAATTTCACAAGTACAATGAATGGAAAAACAAGCAGATTTTAAAGCTATACATTATAGTAATAAATTAAAAGGAATAATTGAATTTCATATTATAAGATATGTATAGGAATTTAGGAATTTAGGTTATTCATTTATAGTCTTATATGTAGAATGTGATTAAGTCTTCCGTATAATCAATTCTTTGTTTATTTTATTGTATATTTTATAAGAAAGGAAATGGAAGATTAATAACAAACTCTCTCACAAGTCAAAAAAATAATATACTTTTCAATCTCATAAAACTCCTTCAAAATATTATAGCGACTATCCTACAACCAATTGTGATTATGGTCAATTTTGGTTAAGTCCTCTTACTAACTTACTTGACAGATACTGTTATTCGAATAGTAACAATTCTCATATTTCTTTATACCGTTATGATCACTAGAGCACGTGACAGACTTTAGCTAAAATGTTGACTGTTTAAATATCACTCGATGATTCATCCTCCCCCCGTGTATATATGTACTCAATTCCTACTACTATTAGCTTTTACTTGACCTTGCTGCACCTTGATTCGATTAGATTATAAATGTGCCTATGTATTTGCTCGTATATATAAATTCGCATCTCTGCTTGGAATTCGCCAAATGCGCCTATAGCTAAGTAATTTGCACTATCCGCTAATAAACTATAGTTGCTGTTTCTCTTTGCCTTCTAATTTCAAACACCGTTGAGATTTGTATAATAACGGTCACGAGGGTGATCATTTAACGAAGCAAAGCCACTACAACTTCTTATTTATCAAAATGGGGATAACAAAATCTTACAAAATGTAATCATTAATAGCATTTAAATTTATATAGGAAATTTAAAACAGGATAACTATGGTTTTAAATGAAGCCATAATTTATGATCAAAAGAAATCTTCTATACAAGAATCAAATATATTTTAACTTCAAAAACAAATAATAATAAAGTTATTATTTTTAATGATTGTTTACCTAAAATTCAATTTCGTAAATAATATAACAAGGCAGCCTGATTGAATATCTGAGCTACCTGTTCATGCCACTTAGATATTTCAATAAGTTATCTGTTTCTTTTGTTTGTTTCAACACATCAGTATGTTTTTTTAATTGCATAACCTATTCAGGAGCGTTTATGAAAAGTTTACGATCTTTCACTGTACAATTTACAAAATAGTACAATCAATGATTTCATGATGACTAGATATATACATTGAGAAGAATGAACAATATTTAAATGCTGATTCTTGAAATCGCTTACATTTAACTGGTGATCAGTTAATATTTATTGTCAGGATCGATCAAGTAATGAGATAAGAAAATTTGTTGAAATACTTCGTATTGATAATTTTATCTTGTACCAAAAATATAATATTGAATAAAGTCACTAATAATAAATATTAAGATCCCAGTGGAGGGAGAAATCAGGAAGAAGCACTAGAGTTGGAAAACATCCAACTGCATTACAAGACAAGCTCTCACATGAAATCCTCAAGGTCAAAGGAAAAGAGAAAGACCAAAAAAACACATTACGTCAAAAAATGGGGACAGACACGTGAAAAATGAACAAAAATTGGATAGAACTAGCAAAGAAGGCACAGAACAGAGTGTGTTGGAGAATGCTGGTGAGCAGCCTATGCTCCTTCACGAGGAATAACAAACGTGAGTAAGTAAGTAAGTAATAAAAAAAATAAAAAATAATGGTTATTTAAAATTAAGAATAAATATAACAATAATTTCATATATGATGCATAATATGGTAGTTAGATTAAGTTCAAAAAGGTTAGATTTTACACATGATATAAAATTATTGTTTGCATGACTAAATAACATTTACTTATATGAGATTAAACTAACAAAAAAGAATGTTGTTCTTTGAGAGAAAAAAAATCTATTATAAACAATAAATCAATTCGGAAGTGATCAAACATAAAATTAAATCAAGATGTTAATTATTGTTTTTTAAAATCAATTAGAAATTTAGAACAAAAAGTAGCAACAACAACAAAAAAAGAACAAATAAAATTTTCACATGAGGTTTTTCTATGATCTTACAACAGATCCATTTTTGTTGAGATTCTACTGGTTTGAATTCCTAATGAAATAGAAAGTAGTGTTCGATTGATATTTATTTTAGATTAAAACAATTTATTTAATACTAAAATATTACTAGTATGGGGGGTTGTGGAGATTATTAAGTTTTTGATTGAGATCATGAATCCATTGATGTTAGACCACCTTTGGAAACCTGAAAGCACTGGACGGCCGTTTCATCCTATTGTGGGACTCCTCAACAGTGCGCATCCACGATCCTGCTCGCGGGATTAGGTTCATGATCTCAATCAAAAACTTAAAGATCTCCACAAGCCCTATACTAGTAATTAACATGTGCTCACTAGTGACTAGCTTCGTGAGGGAATTCTCGGAGTTCTGGTGAGAAGTCGTGACCAGTGGAGCTAATCCGTGTTGGGTAGAGACTGGTATCTACCTCAGTACAATGGAAGATGGTCGCGCAATTTCGTGGATTGGTTGATGTTAGACATTAACATCATTGGATGCTGGCTCAGTGGTCCAGTAGGTTATGCGTTCGCGCGCGAGACTGAAGACCCTGGATTCGAATCCTGTGAGCGGGATCGTGGATGCACACATCTGAGGAGTCCTGCAATAGGACAAAACGGCCATCCAGTGCTTCCAACGTTGGTCTGACATCAATCGGTTCATGATCTCAATCGAAGACTAAAATATTAGTCTAATAAATAAACTGAATGAAATTTTTCAATTGAAGAAGTATTTGGAATAATGTTATCTAAAAGTTGTTAAGTCCCGATAAGCATAATGAATGGTAACTTTGGGATCTATTTGTAAACCAATACTATGGGTATATTTTTATCGTATAGTTGTTAAATAACGAAACTATTCATATTCATGTTTCTTTTACCATAAGCTTTATTTTAACTTATGAACTGTTATACAATTTTTCATTCTTGAATTATTCCCTGTCTATTAATCACTACCTCCCACATTCACAAACACATTTGGTCAAATCTTGTACAAATGTTGTTTTCTATTTTATGGTACGATGTGGTCTGTTTGATTGGTATTTAAACCCAGTATGTTTGAAATAGATGATTCATGTCGCAGAGGCTGAGATTGGTGTTCTGGACTTAACTGGCTGGGCTAGTCAGGAATCAGGGCTGACGCGTACTCTAGACTGCTCGTGAGGGTTTACGCGTCACTGGTCCGACTGATAATTCACT